TTTATTATGAAAGACACCTTTTATTGAATTGAAAAGAATTTCTTTATATGTTATAAATATTTGTTTTGAAGAATAGATGAAAATTGAATACAAATGAAAAGAATATTAAAGAATTTTCACAAAGTATTGACAGAAAGAGTAATTATTTGAAACAAAGATTAGACATATTTGTTATGCAAACACAAAGTGATTGTATTTAATAAAAAGCATTAATTGTTGAATCAGTTCCACTCTATGATGACGTCGGGCTGACTCCGGAGTCATCGCCTGAGCTAACGAAGAGGTCGTGGTTCGGGAGTCTTATGGGCACAGAGAGGGACGAAACTCATGTCATTTTGATCAAAGACCGACAATTGTCTGCCATTAAAGCAGATCTAATCCACGCATTCCTTTCTGTGAGTTCTCAATCACTTTCTTTGAATATATGTTTTTTGATTGCATTTCGTTTCCGAAACGACGAGAGAAAAAATGCCAAGAATTTTGTCGCTAATATTGTATTCATTGCTTTCTTTATTTGATCCGACAATAGATATCAGACTTAAGTCATTCGGTTTTGTCGCCGATGTCTTTTCGGGTAGAGTTCAAGAGACCGGGCGGTACAGCCATGTTTCAGAGGAATGTCCGCTTCCATGTGGACATCACTTGTGCCACACCTCCGGCCGACACCACCAATGGATCGCTCGACAAGCCTACAGACAAACCCACTATTTATTGCATTACATTCACATTGATTTCGGGTATAATTTATAAGACATTTGAATTGAACGCTTCATTTCACTTGACATTAATTGGCATTGATTTGCATTTGAAGGTCCGTTGCGTCGATTCAAGCGTATCTGCGATCACATTCAGGCACAGGTGTTGGGCAGTCGGAGGGCTGGCGGTCAGCACTCGCCGCGAATGGGTCGGCGGCCGACCCGCGAGTTAAGTGACACGAGTTCTTGCGGTTCGTGCGGTTCGGACAGCCTATCGCCGACACCGACACGACTGCACGTCAGCGAAGACACCGTGAGTTTGGCGGCGGCTGTGGTCAATACGAGCACAACTAACCTGACGGGTGCGCTGTCCCGGTGTAAGTCAGATCAGGACGCGGCCAAAGACATCTTCGAGAGAGAGGCCAAACTGATGAATGAGAGACGACAAGAGAGCGTTCGTCTCATCG